TTTTTTTTTTTTTTTTGGTACCAGGCATCGAACTCAAGATCTTGAGCTTCCAAAGCTGGCAGCGGAATAGCTGTTACTTCTTAATGATCTCCAGAACCTTTGCCATGTTCTTATAGTGCCAGAGAAATCTGGAACCTAACTGAAATACATTTATTTAAATGCCATCTTTCTGAAATCCTTCAGTTTTAAGAATTAAATCTGTATTTGTTTTCATTATCCTGCTTAACACTTCCCATGTTTCACATTGGAAAGAAATTTAAGTAACTGCATCTGTATTTGGGAATTCTTAAATTTTTAAGATTACCAAAACTTTTACAGAAACATAAATTTATAAACCAGAGCCAAAATACCATCTTTGGTCTGCAACTGACTATTGAATGATAAACTTTGGATTGCTTTTAAGCAGTGTTTGTCAGCTCCCCCCACACTGAGAGAAACAGAATATTCTCTCTATACCTGAGTTACAATAGAGATTCTGAATCCTGGAATGGAATCAATGGGCCAGTTTTAGAACATAATGTAGACCCCTGAGATTCCCTGCCTCTTAGTGTGACTATGTCTGTTTGCTGTCTGTAAAGGTGCTTTCTGTTTCATATAGCATATTAATGCAGCAGGAAGCTGCATTATGTTTCAGACAGAATCATCATTTAGCACCTCTGGACCTTTAGTGAGTCAATACATGTTATGCTTTTTTTCGTGGATCACTGAGCAACTGTGTTAGGATTAAGGAAATGTAGTTTACATCATACTGTGCAAATGTTATTTATTTATTTGGGGTTTTTGGGACAGGGTCTTGCTTTGTAGTGGAGGCTGACCTTGAACTCTCTGTGTAGCCCTGGCTGGCCTCAAACTTATGATAATCCTCCTGCCTTAGCCTCCCAAGTGCTGGGATTACAGGTGTATGCCACTACACCTGATTTAGAGGTGTAATTTTTAAAGATTTAGACCATTTTTACAAGTAATGGGCTATTTTGGGTTAAGAAAGTAGAAGAATTTAAATATTTCCTATTTTCAGCAGAGTAAACCTACAAATTAAGGTGCTTTTTTTAGAAATGCTTTCTTAAAAAGAAAATTTGATTTTTATGAAATGTCATCCCAGATCATTTAAGACTGTCAGGTCAGATGTTTCTTTCTTTACATCTCTGGTGATTACTGATTGAATTGGCCTTTTTTCACTATTTTCTTGAATCATCCAGGCTTTACTGATATTATGTAATTACCAATATTATGCTGTTGATCCTGTGAATGGTCCTGAAATAATAGCATCATTAAGAAAAGGATATGTTAAGGATCTAGAGCAGTGGTGGCAAAGCTACAGCGTGTGTGCTGTAGTAGGCTCTAAAGGTTCACCATTGCTGTACAAGGGTGTGATTATTCAAAAGCCTCGTAGGAGAGAATGCTGTTTTGTGGGCTAAGTAGTTGGGTCTTGTTTCCTTGTTACAGATGAATGGTCTCGGCCTATATTTGGTCTTACTTCAAACTATAAAGGAATGACGAGAGAAGAGAGGGAGCAGAGAGACCTGGAACAAATGCCCCAGCGACGACGACTGAGCAGGTATGAAGCACAGGTATGAGTAGTGAGCTAATGTTGTTGCCTGTGCTGGGGAGATGAGGTCATAACGATCTTGAGATCATCTGCAAACTGATAGAATTTTGTCTTTCCTCTAGTCTGAGAAGAAAACTGTTCATAATATCCTTTTAGTTAAATATAGTAGTGTATGGTGAGGGTCTTCTCCCCATACCAAGACCTTTCTGGGTAAGAAGCAAGGCCTCTTTCATGGTTCTGGGGAATGTGTTGTTCCAGCCACTTGCACAAAATTACTTTCCTAGTCCATTTCCAAAATTCTGGGAGTAAAAGAAGTTACTGTTCTGTTTGGGTGTACACAGTTGCATCCGAGAGGACAGAGTCACTAGGGATGAAACCTGTTTGGCTAGAAGTTATTTTCCCTGATCCAGTATAAAGCAACTAATTATGGTCTAAGTTTGATATTTTGGTTTGTTTCTTTGCTTAGTTAAAATGGTCTAGGATTCCTAGTAATCTCACTGTTTATTCTTTTCCTAGCACTGGTGGTCAGACACCCCGAAGAGACCTGGAAAAAGTGCTAACAGGAGAGGAAAAGTAAGGTTTTTGTATTAATTTGTCTTTTTAGAATATATAGAGGATTTCTGTTTGCTACTTTAAGAAAAATAGTACTTTGGAAAATTAACAGTTTATTCATTAAATTTTCAAGGTGCTAGACATCTTAAGTTTTGAGACCACGAAAGCATACAGTCCATGCTCTCAGGTGTAAGTGTGGAGAGGGGTAATGGGCTCGAACGTGGAGTCTGTGCAAGGCCTGCTGTCAGAGTGCCAAATAGCTGGAAGTGAGCAAGCAGCAGTGTGGGGCCAGGAGTGGAGCAAAACAGAACTGGAAAGACTGCTGGGACCTAGTGAAGGATGAAATCAAGAGGAGGCATTTTCACTTCTCTCTGTGATTCCTGAGAACATTTTTAAGCCTAGACATAAAGCCACCAGGTTTAATTTGGAGTGCTGATGTTGATAGCATCCTGTAGGAGCCAAGGCTAGTGAAGCAAGGCAACAGAAAGAACCAGGAGGAACAGTGGGTAGATTTAACGTCCGTTCTGGGAGAATGGCTACATAAGAGCCATAAATCCTCAGCTGCAGTGTCATCTTTCTGTCAAGGACGCCAGTTTCACCAGTCATTGAGGCCTCACTGTGATGCTGGCATAGGGAATTCTGCTTCTACATACCAGCCAGAGGCTTATCTACCAAGTCTCTTAGGCCTAGGAACGACTCTCAATCAAGAGCTAATTCATAAGCCAATTCAATAATATTTTATAGCCTACTCAGCACAATTTCAGCTGGTCTCCAACACTCACTGATAGGTAAAACTCTTTATTTCACCTGTAAAAACATCAGGCCAGGCATGGTGGTGCACGCCTGTAATCCCAGCACTTGGGAGGCTGAGGCAGGAGGATCGCTGTGAGTTTGATACTAGCCTGGGCTACATAGTGAGTTTCAGGTCAGTCTCAACTATATAGTGAGACCCTGTCTCAAAAAACCAAAAAAAAAAAATCTTCTGGGGTTGTGATTCTTGTAGAAGAATCACATCTCCACATTGTGCAAAACCTAATGTGTTCACTCTAAAACAGTGCCCCAAAGAAGACTTTTAAGATATCAAATTTATATTGAATTTTTTGTATGTGACAAGTTCTACTAGGAACACATATTTTGATGTATCTTGCAAAAGGAAAAAAGTTATTATGACTAGATATTGAACCAATGAACTGGTCTGCAGCACCTGACTAAAACTTCTGAAACTTATTCTCCATCACTGTGAAAGCATCTTGATAGCTGTATTGTCCTTGCTGTCATTAAAAAATGGTCCCACAGTTAAAAAATAAGTCAGCAGAGACCTGGAAGAACAGAAGATTGAGAGGGCATTGCAGCAGCAAAACTACCAGAGCTGGTAACTTTAGGAGGGGAGAATTTGGCTAGAATTGAAGGCTCCAGCACACATACTGAGACAATGGTTTACCATTCATTAAAATTAAGACAGGCACAGATGTGAGGTCCTTGGTGAGTATCCTTGCAAGCAATTAAATATGAGGTAGCTAATGAGATACTTCTATAAATATAGGTCTAGAAATTGGGATTTGTACTAGAGACATAAATTTGATTATTATCATCATAGAAAAATTGTTGACTCGAGTGTAGAGGAAAAAAGAAATTAAGCTGGGCTGAAGCGGTAGCTCAATAGTAGACTACTTGCCTGGCATGTACAAAGCCTGGATTCAGTCCCTTGCACTGCAAAAAAGGAAAGAAATGAATGAACCAATTTTGGAAAGCAGAGTGACTAGTGAAGAGAGGGAACATGGTCACACAGGTTGGAGCAGTGCCTGGATAATATTGAGGCTGCATGTGAGGCAAGCAGTGGTAAAGCAGGGCACAGAAGCCAGGTACCGAGGAGGCACTGGTGCTGGGCGTGTCAGCAGTCAGCGTCCACATTGCAAGAGGATGGGAGATGAGCTGGAGGAAAGTGCGGTATGTTTATAGCTAAGTTTTGATGATGAGGCAGTGGTTTCAAGGAGCAAAGAAGAGTTGTGGAGAATTTTAATTGGCTAGCCAGATATATGAAAGTTATAGAAAGCTTAATGTTAAAACATGGGGTAAACTAGAGCTGGATGCGGTGGCACACGCCTGAGACCTCAGCAACTTGAGGTTAGGCAGGAGGATCACATATTGAAGACCAGCTTGGGCAACTTAATGAAGCCTTGTCTAAAATACAGTATAAAAGGCGTGTGGTAGAGTGCTTGCTTTTTTGTTTCTGTTTCTGGTTTTTGGTGTTTGGTTTTGTTTTGATTTGGTACTGGGAATCAAACTCAGGACTTTGCACTTGCAAGGCAGTCACAAGCTAAATCCCCAGACCCATTTGTTATTGCTTCTTAGGACTCCATGTAAATCTGTAATTATCTCAAAGATTTCTGCAAAAAGAAGCATAAAAGTTTCTGTGTGGTTTGCATATGCAAAACCATGAGAACTGTGGGTGTCAAAATGGTTGGCTCTTTTTCTTGAGGCAAAACATTTATTAGTACATTTTAGATATGCATAATGATAGGGTCTTAGATATGCATCATAGGGTCTTGGGCCTCTTTTTTTTTTTGGAAATAAAGTAAGTTTATTTTGCCAGCAAAGGTTGAATCGCACTCAAAGAGGCAGTGCCAGCGATCGGCCCCTATTAGGTTGAAGCTTCTTCTTTTACAGGTTTTACAACTCTAATCTCATGCAGGTGGTTACACTTCATTTCCTCAGTTCACATTACTCATGTACAAATTACAGTAACCAGACAGTAAGTTTAACCCAGACGAACAGTTCCTTGTAGCTAGGGAGTTCACCTCAAGATTCGTCTAGCCATCTCTTCAACACCCAGGAAGGGAGTGTTCAAGGTCAGGGATGAGCCCAGATGTCCCGTTTCATGGTCAGTGCCTCCAGTGTCTGTTAATTTTGAACTAAACAAAACAGATTGCTGTTAGAGACAGCAGAAGTCATTTTACATATTCCTAAATGGTCAGTGCCCAGTGTCTGTTAATTTTGAACTAAACAAAACAGATTGCTGTTAGAGACAGCAGAAGTCATTTTACATATTCCTAACATTTTGTAGGTTTTTAGATTATTTACAAAAGTTCTGTCAATCCCAGCCTTCCACCATATTTTAAAAAATCAACTTAAAATGGATTAAGCTCTTAACTATAGGACCAGAAACTATGAATCTGATATAGAGGGAAGAGATGTAACTCCCAAACCTGCTAGACATCCAAAATGCAAGTTCATGTTCTCTAAAATCGAAGAACTAATTCTAGGAACGATGGAGGTTAAGAGTAGGAAAAATTTATTGAGAGAAAGAAAGCTTCTGTCTAAGACAGAGGGGACTGGAAAGTGGGCTGCCTGGGGCTCATTTTGACCGCATGATTTTCACCTCACAAGTGAACTCCTGAGTAACTCCACGAGACTGGTGAACTTAGGGTTCAGAGTCCTGCTAGAGGACCAGTCTTGGACGGAGAGGATCTGATGACATCCAACCTGAAGGGAGCGAAGAAGATTCCTGTGAATGCAGAGGAACTTGGCCTGGTAGATTCACGCAGGACAGAGCGTGTCTGATAACACGCTCAGCTAAGAGGGCAGGCGCGTGGGAGAGGGCAGAGGACAGTGCTGAAGCGTTGCAGCTGGATGGCGCAGGACTGGGAGCGGGAGGTTGAGTGGCTCCTGGGCTCCACAGTGGGTGACTACAGTCAGCGTGCTTTTCCTCTTCCTTCTCTCAGGGCTCTTAGACCTGGAGACCCTGGATTCTGTGCCCGAGCGAGAGTCCCGATGCCTTCAAACAAGGACTACGTTGTCAGGCCCAAGTGGAATGTGGAAATGGAATCATCCCGGGTAAGCAAGCAGAGGAGGAGCAAGGTGGACCTCAGATGCAGATTACCACTTGATGTTCTTTTTCGTTATGTTTAAGAATCCTTACAGCTCTTAAGGTTTATCTGACTTCCAGACATCTGTTTTTTGACGTCTTAGTAGCCACATTGCAGGTCAAAGATAGAGAAAAGCGTTACCCAAGATTAAAGTTCACTGCTGATAAGCTTTTCTTCAGATTTAAACGAGTGTTATGAAACAGGAGGTTTCTCCCTGGTAACCCCTTTATTTCAAGGGAATTTTTTTTCCTGGTACCAGGGATTGAACTCGGAACCTTGCACTTGCAAGGCAGGCGCGGCACCACTGAGCTAAATCCCTGGCCCTGGTGGAGTGATGTTTGTTGTTAAGAACAACCTTTTCTTGCTTCCTCAGAGTCCCCCTCCTTTTCTCTTCCAAGCTGTTGAAGCAATTCTGTTGTGAAACCATTAGGTTAGATAGTTCCTGTCATCATTGTGGACACTTCTCAGACACTGCTTCTTGGTAATCTTACTCTAATTGGACCACTCTTTCTAGCCTGGTATTCTTAAAAAAGGCCTGAATCGATTGGAAAAGCATAAACGGCGATTTGCGGAACAGAAACGGCTCAGCAGAGTGCACCGTGCTGTCAAGTTCAGCATTGAAGGCAACAGGATGCCCTTGTAGGCCTGGCCCTTAGAGAGGTATCCTCCAAGAAAGCATGGGTTGTGTGTGGGCTTTCCTTGTCAGCAGAGGGAAAGCAGGTGTGCATGTGCTTTCTTAACCACAAAGGCCTTTCTGCTTTAGTTTCTAAAGTAGTGACCCGGACAGGCCCCTTGAGACAAGGAATGGCCTCTCTGATATTTAGAAGTTGTCATGAAAGTCCCTTCCTTTGGCAATAACCTTGGAGACGAATAGGCCATTACTTCCTCGGTGGGCATTTTGTTCTCCTTGTCTAATCTGTTTTTTATGAAAAACTTCTGTCAGGGCCCAGAATCATAGTCATGTGCACACAGGCATATAAATTGGCTGGTGAATTCCTGGTGGAAGGGAGGTTCTCTGTTGTCTGTGGCTCAGTAACATGCATTTGAGAACTCATGATGTAAAGCTCGTTTAGTACGTGGTCAGAAGTGACTTGAGAAGATTCGTGAGCCATGCCCATTGACCGTCTGTGCTGAGATTCAGGGCAGCACCTTTGCTGCAGGGCACAGAGTTTATGCGTGTTTGCCTGCCTTTTGTGCTTCTCTGACTCTGCTTTGGCAATTATTTGCAAAGGCTCCACTTACTTACCTTCCTTCCCGTCAGCTATACCGTCAAGCGGCTGTCGAGACAGAACCCACTTTCTTATTTACTGAGAATGAGGGTAGCGGACGATTACTTCTGTGCTGAGGACTTCTTCCACTGTGGCACTTCCTTTTTAAAAAACTGGTAGCATATTCATGTCCTTCGGTGTCTCCTCTAACTTCTTCTTTCTGACTGTCTCTTTACTTCTTTCTAAACTCCGTGTGTAATATTTTCTTGCCCAGTACTTTTCTTTTTGAGAATTGGAAACTTCTGTATTCCCCAAAAATAAGCCCAAGTCTTACACTAATTTTTGCTATAAAAGGTGCAGTGAGGTTTATTTTCAGAGGATGTCTTATCTTTTCATATGCAACAATTGATTGCATTTATTTGTGTATAAACATCTACAGTCATGTCAGCTTCTGGAGCATTGTTTTAACTCTCCAAACCCCGCATTCTGGCCAGAATGTCTTGTGACTCCATTTACTCCTGAGCTATTGGCCTCAACCTCTCACATCCGGCAGTAGAGTTCTCCTTAAATGAGTCCTTCTTGTCTAGGTAGCCTGCTCGTAGTGCGTTGGTACAACACACGACACGCTGCATGAGGAAGATTCACATCCAACACAGCTGTGTCTGTTCGGTATCAAGTGCACACGTCATTTGTGTTGTGTCTGTGCTCTGATTGGCAACTTGGCAGTAAGTCTCGAGTTCGTCTGTTTAGGTGTTTACCTCTTGTCCACTTAACGTATTTACAAATACTTAATTATAATTTATGTTCTTTATTTTAGATATAAATGTCAGTAGTCTTCTAGGAAGTCATATTAATACGCTATAATTCAGTACACCATCATGCGTTACAGTGCACCTACGCAATGCACCAGTCTGGCTAACAGTCATAACGGGGGCTTATTTTGGGCAAAAACTCATGGGAGGGTTTATTTTCCAGTTAGGACTTATTTTATAGGGGAAATACAGTATAGCATGACCAAGAAAGAGTCACAGAAGCAGAATGGCCAGTGTTCTTTGGAAGCGTCCTGTTCCTGGGGCTGCTTGCCTGTCTGCCGATGCTGCAAGTCCTGATCCCATCCCCTGTGGGTAGATGCAGGAGAGTGGCCTTGAGACAGCAGGAAGCTCCTGGGACGCGCCCTTCCTGATCCCGCACACCACAGTCGTAACACGCTCTTCTTTATTGGGGCTGTAGTTTGGCCTGTGACTCTCTATCCAGTCATACTTTGATCTAGGGGTATGGCTCAGTGGTAGAGTGCTTGCCTAGCATGCTTGATGCCCTGGATTCAATCCCCAGCACTGCCAAGTAGGAGGAGTCAGGCATGGTGGTGCACACCTATAATCCCAGCACTCGAGAGGCTGAGGCAGGACGATTGCTGTGGATTTAAGGCCAGTCTGGCCTGCATAGTAAGTCCAAGGCCAGCCTGTACCGCACAGTAAGACCCTGTCCTAAAAAAACAGAAGGAAAAGAGTTATGTTTTAGGGGCTGATGATCTATTACCTTCTTTCTTACTATCCTTAAACTACCTGACACTTTCTGTCTTCAGGATGGTTTCTTGCATACTCTCTTAATGCTTACGTTGTGTAGATACTAATGAGCATTATTAGAAATCATATTGTCCATGAAGATAACTAGAGTGACAACATGACTTTCAAATGAAACCTTTTAGGGCCGGGCATGTAGCTCGGTGGTTCCGCTGCCTGCCTTGAAAGCACAAGGACCTGAGTTCGATCCCTGGTACCAGAAAAAGAGAGAAGGGTTTGTACAAATGAACCTTTTGTTTTAAATGTTTTTAGTTTTAGTTGTGAAACTTTGGATTAACCTCCATTCCTAAAGCTCTGCTCTTCCACTAAGTCACCACTGTTCACAATTTTACATTTTACGTGTATATCCAGTTATGCCTTAAACTTCACTTTTATACTTGAAGAGAAATTTGAGATGGTAAAAAAAAATCACCCATGGTCTCAACATCCAAACCAGTTTGATTTGCTGCCTCTTTTTCTGTTGATACTTTATATAATTGAAATTTGTACTACTATTAATTTTGGTCATTTCACTGCAGTTTTTTTGTTTTGTTTCTATTTTTGTAGACAGGGTCTTACTCTGTAATTCAGGCTGGCCTTGAACTCGCTGTGTAGCCTAGACTAGCCTCGAGTGCTCAGAGTCCTCCTGCCTCAGCCTCCCCAGTGCTGGTATTACAGGTGTGCACCACCATGCCCAGCCAGTCATTTCACTTTTTAAGCCACCTTGTAGAGTATTTTTAATGGCTACATAACGCTGTATGTGACCCTTGCATGAATATGTAATAATTTGTTTAGTCTCTGGTTTCTGATTTTTCACTCTTTATTAAATGTGGCAGTAACATGTACTACACTGGCTCATATATTTGTCTAGTTTGTGGAGTGCTTTTTAAAGTTGACTATAAGTGAGGGCCGGGGATTTAGCTCAGTAGTTCCACCATCTGCCTCGCAAGTGCAAGATCCCAAGTTCCATCCCCAGTTCAAAAAAAAAATGACAGTAAATGGCAGAAGCAGTGCATGCTTTTATATAAAGTTTTTGTTTTTGGCAGCAAAGATTGAAGTCTGGTCCTTGCGCTTGCGGGGCAGGCAGTAGAACCTCTGAGCCAAATCCCTGGCCCTGTATAAACTTTTAAAAATGCAAAAAGCACAAAATTAATGCTACCTGAAATCGTGCCGCAATTTAATAGCATTTTGGATTATTCCTTTCTGCTCTTTTTTGTGTGTATGCATAGACAATATTACTCCACGCCCCACCCCCCCAAGGAGTAATGTGATCGTACTCGTATGCTTTGTTGGGATTTTTACTCAGCATAATAGAACTCCATTTAACCGAGTGTGATTTAATACTGTGTTGTCATATAGTCATACCATAATTTTTAAAGCAACCCCTCTTTGCTAGTTACGTTCCTTTTGTTTTTTTGCTGATAAAACCAGTGTATCATATACTTTTGGTGTCCTGAAGAAGTGTGGTGTAGAGTTGATGAATTAGGAGGGAGATTAGAACAATGTTAGGTCCTGGCATCCGTGTCTTTTCAGGCACGCGACAACTAAGCATTGGCAGGAGTAGATTGACACTGGCCTAAGTACGTCCCTGATGCTAGGGCTGAACAGATCTATTAGGGCTCAGGGTTTGCAGGGAGGATCCAGGAGTGGGCAGCCTAGTGTGTGGAGCTGCTGGGAGCTTTCCGAGTGGACTGATTCCAAGTACTGGAATTGGAGCACATTGCCCAAAAAAAAGTCAGATGTCCAGGACAGCCCAGGAAATCTGAGGATAAAGTGATGGCACAGCTCTTTCTCATCTGACTGAGTTTTCATGCTAACTCAAAATACATGGTGCCAAGTATTGAGATTGGTATAAAATAATATTTAGAATTAGGATTTTTTTATGCTACACTGTTTGAAAGTGTCGGGTACTCAGCGGTGGGTGGGGGCCATTAGTCTTTAACAGGGAGAAAGTTAGATGTAATGCAGTTGATGGACCCAGGAGGATTTGTAGTCACAATATTTCGCCTTCTCTCTAGATTTCCATGGACTGCAAATAAGGCATAGGCAACAACAAAGGTATTTCTAACACTGCTGTGTGTACTTGCTTCCTCAGGTAGCGGAAGCATATCCTGATTATTCTACAGCTAAGAGCTCTCTGACTTTTAATCTTCAATAAAAGACGAAAGACAAAACTGGATTTATGTATTCGAATAATTTGCTCTTTAATTTCTCCCTCACTCTTAGTTTCAGGCAACCTCCAAGAAAGGTATCAGTCGACTGGATAAGCAGATGAGGAAATTCACAGATATCAGGAAAAAAAGCAGATCTGCACACGCAGTAAAAATCAGCATCGAAGGCAATAAAATGCCCTTGTGACCCTGCCTGGGATATGTCCCCATCTCTGCTCTGAGAAATGCACAATGGACTCTTTAGAGAAAGAAGATATTTAAAAAATTTTTTAGTGTGTCTGTAAATGGTTCAGCTTGTACCACATGTTGTCATAGGACTCACATTTGTCTTAGTTGTATTTAAAATTGTGTACTTTGTACAAAAGAATACTAGTCATCCCTCTATAAGCTTTACACAATAAAATTTCATTCTGGTTTGGAGGGCTGTCTCTTCATTGTCTTAGAGAGTGCACTCTTGTGGAGCTACAGATTGGTCCTTGGTTTAAAAAAAAAAAATCTCATCATACTGACTGGTATAATGAGGAATTTGTTTGGTTTTTGTCCCTGGTTTCTGACAAGTAATGTGTCAAACCCTTGGGTCCCTTGAATGATAGAAGGTCCCTTGAATGTTATGCTAATAGCAGCTCAGGGCTGGCCCTTAATGAAGCTTTAGATTGGAGAATGGTCACCATGAAGATCTTTAACTGTGTCTGATGAGAGACTGAGTTCCATTCTCAGGACATTGGTTTTTGATTTTTTGTTTTGCCTGTGTAATGCAACCTCGATTAAGAGCTCTGATTGCAGACATTCTGTATAGATATTCCAGGCCATTGTATATATGGTCTGAATTATGTGACTGATTTTAACAAATTCTTGGATGAAGAGGCTTGTGGGCCCCCAGATTTGTAATGAGTCAGAACTGTTGATGGCATCGAGACCTCCCTTGGGGCCAGCATCTGAACTGGGCACAGTCTTAGGAAGGGAGGGCTACACCTTAAATTTGTGCAGCCCAGTACTAACCCTGGGCATTTAGGGTCAGAGCTGAATTGCAGTATCCCAGTAGGAGTTGAAATACAACACCAACAAAATCTTATTTCTTAGTGTTTCTCTTGTTAGGGAATAATTTATTTTAATTTAAATTTCCCTCTAGGAATAGGTTAAGGAATATTGCCTTTGTGGGAGGGATATGGTGGTACACACCAGTAATTCCAGCACTCAGGAGGCTGAGACAAGAGGATTGAGAATTTCAGGCCAGTTTAGATTACATAGTGAGACCTTGCCTTCCAAAAAATAATGTCTTAGAATTATGGATGTGGCCAGGTATGGTGGTGCACACCTATAATCCCAGCACTCAGGAGGCTGAGGCAGGAGATCACACAAATTTTGAGTCCAGCCTGGGCTGCCTAGGTCAAAGCCAGTTTACACTACATTGCAAGACCTGTCTTAAAATAATTTTAAAAAGCTAGAAATATGGATATAACTGAAAATAACCACCAATTGGATATGATAGGCAATTACAGGAGAGGAAGGAATTACAACTTAAAGTTGTGGTTCTTGTTGCTTTATTTTTGTGATATTTAAAATTTTTAGTCTGCAAGATTTATGAGAGCTCTGATGGGTCAAGATAAGCCCAAGAAAACTGAATCAGTAACCATTTTAATTATAGAAATCCTACTCTGATACAAATTGGGAATACACAAGAGTCTACTCACCATGGAGACCTTTTAGAAAGCTAATGCACTAAAACTTTTATTCAAAGACCCTCTCAACCTGTTTACACAAATGGGACCAAAATAAGATAAAGCCAAGTGTGCGAAGGCATTCAGTGGCAATGCTGACCACTAGGTGGAGGCAGAATCTGGTGACACTGACCATTCTAAACAAAAGCAAGTTTTTTGGGAATATTTTAAAAATAACATTTTGGCCCTTTAGTGGAGCAAGTTCCACTTACCTGAAAATACCACTTAATGGCATCAGGGCCAGTAATAACAGTGATGATCATACCTGGGAAATTCATTCTACTGGTTATGGAAGAAGAAATAATTGCTAATGTATGCCTAAATGATCCTGATTGCATGATAATTTGGGTGGGTATGAAGCTTGGCCTACCAGAATAACTTCTAAGAAATAATTGGGAGATTGAGAATGGCAAGGTGAATGCCCATGTTCAAGTCCTGGTAGTTACTGTCCGGCCACATTTACATCATCTTCCATAGGCGTATTGTTAGTTTGCAGATCATTTCTCAACATGGAGTTTAGTTTGTCCAAGGATTAGTGTTAGCTAATCACTTGGATAGAAAAATGCAGTCCCTTTTTGAGGAGAGGGAGTTGAGACGTTGTCGCTGTGTAGTTTAGGCTGGCCTCAGACTCGGAGCCCAGGCTGGCCTTGAGCTTGATGCAGTCCTGCACAACCTCCCGAGTGCTGGGAATCACAGGGTGTACCCCCGTGCCGGGCAAGTCACTTTCCTATATTTTTTTTGTAATATATTTTAATTGTATAAAAAGATACATAATAAAGGTTTACCATTTCAACCATTTATAACTGTAGTTGGTGTTTGTGTGCATTCATATCATTATGCAGCCATCACTACTGTCCGTCTCATGGAAAACAAACAAGTTCCCGTTTTCTCTTCCTCCTGTTGTCGGCAGCCATCACCGTCGTGCTGCTTTTCCATTGCTGTGATTTTGACTATTCTAGGTAGCGGCAGCTCTCTATGTCCTGGTGTTAATGTTTTAGATACATTATTTTTGCAAGTCATATTTTCCTACTCGGGTTGCCTTTGTTGTGTCCTTTGATTCATGAATAATTATAACTTCATGTACTTTGTTTCATTTATTCCTTGTGTTTTTTTATATAATCTGAAAATCATTGCCAGGTCATGTGTTACAAAGCCTTTGCCCTATGTTTTCTAGGAATTTGTAGCTTTAGCTCTTATATTTAGGTACCTGATCCATTTTGAGATTAGACTCCAATTTCACTCTTTGAATATGGGTATACAGTTTTTCCAATACCATTTGTTAAAAAGACAGTCCTTTTCCCAGTGAGTACTCTTGATACCATCCCCAGGGTCATTTCACCACATAATGAGGATTTATTTTTGTTGTTTTTTCTACTCAGGTGCTCTGTCTTTCTCCCCAAGACAACCCTGTTTTGCTTACTGTAGCTTTGCATTGAGGAAATGTGGGACCTCTTTTTATCTTAAGATTTGTTTGGCTGTTTGAGGCTCCTCAAGATTTCATACAAACATTAGGCTAAATTTGCCTATTTCTGCAATAAATGTTGGGATTTTGATAAGGATTCCATTGAATCTGTAGATCATTTTGGGTAGTGGCAACATCCTTACCAATATTAAGTCTTCTAGTACATAAACAGTACCTTTCCATTTGTTGCTGTCATTTTTAATTTCAGCAGCATTTTAGTATACAAGTCTTCTGCCTCCTTGGTTAAGTTAACTCCAAAGTATCTTATTTTTTATGCTATTGTAAATTATGTTCTTCCTTTAGAATTGTTCACTGTTTGCATGTACAAATGTAACTGATTTTTGTGTTGTTTCATCCTGCAGTTTTGCTGAATTTATTAGTTCTAACAGTTTTGTTTTGGAGGGTTGTTTGTTTTGTGGAATCTTTGGGCATTCATTTAATATATCATCTGTGCATAATTTTACTTTTCTATTTGGATATCTTTTATTTTTCTTGCCTAGTTGATTTGGCTGAGATTCTTTTTTCCTCATTGAGTTTATTGGTACATTTTAGGTATTTAGTACAGTTACATTCATCATTGGGATCTTGTACCTTTACATGGCAGGTCTTCTCATTTTTTCCCCTTATCCCTGCCCTCCCTTCACCCCCTCCTCCCTTCCCTATTTACAAATACTTTATTTCCATTTTTTTCATTTTCTCATATGTTTTTTTTTCTTTTCCCTTATTTCCTTTCCCCTACCCTTCCCACTTCCCCTACACCTTTAGCCCTTTTCTTCCTATTTCACATTGTCAATTATACCATTAGGATCTTATGTACCATTACAGTTTTTCACACCAGAGAAACTTTGGTATTTATACATGTGACTTATTTATTTCACTTAGGAGTATATCCTCAATATGTATCCATTTTCCTATGAATGACTAGTTTCTCATTCTTGGCTGAGATCGAATACTATATTGAATATACATGGTGAAAATGGGCACCCTTGTCTTATTTCTGATGTTAGAGAACAAATTTTCCATTTTTTTATCACTGAGTATGATACTGGCTGTGGGATTTTTTTAAACTTTGTTTTGTTTTTGTACTGGGCATCAAACTCAGGACCTTGTGCTTGCAAAGCAGGCAGTGGAACCACTGAGCTAAATCCTTAGCCCTGGCTGTGGGATTTTCATAGATGCCCTTTATTATGCTGACTTTTCTCCTATTCCTAGTTTATTGAAGTGTTTTTATAAGAAACTTGGGCTTGTCAATTTTTTTTTTCTGCTCCTGGATGATCATAGATTTTTTTCCTTCCTTCTGTTAATGTGATATATTCCACTGATTTTTGTTATGTTGAATCGTCTTTGCATTCTGGAAATAAATCCTTCTTGGCCATGGTATATACTCCTTTTAATGTGCTGCTGCATTTTGTTTGCTAGTATTTTGTTGAGAAGTTTTGGGGAAATATTCATTAAAAATGTTGGTCTGATTGACACTGTGGAATAGGAAGAAAAGGGCTAAAGGTGTAGGAAACTGGGAAGGGTAGGGGAAAGGTAATAAGGGAAAAGAAAAAATATGAAAAAATGAAATGGAAATAAAGTGTTTGTAAATGGGGAGGGGAGGAGGGGTTGAAGGGAAGGGAGGGACAAGGGGAAAAAATGAGAACCAAGACCTGTCATGTAAAGGTACAGAATCCCAATGATGAATGTAACTGTACTGTATACCTGAAATGTACCAATAAACTCAATGAGGAAAAAAAGAATATTGGTCTGGGGCCCAGAATTTAGCTCACTGTTTCTGCCACCTGCCTCACAAGTGCAAGGTCCTGAGTTCAATCCCCAATACCAAAAAAAAAAAAGAATATTGGTCTTTAGTTTTCTTGTACTGTGTGTCCTGTTTTGGTATCACAGTAATCCTGTCCTCAGTTTGGAAGTGCTCTCAAATTTCGTGGAATAACTTGAGGAGGATTGGTGTTCCTTCTTTGAATGTTTAGTAGACGTCACCAGTAAAGCCATCTGGTCCTGGACTTTTCTTCGTTGTGAGGTTTTTGGTAACTGATGCCATCTCCTTACTAGTTACAGATCTATTCAAATATA